TGGCTCGGTGGTGGGTGTTTTAACGCAGAACCGGGCGCTTTTCCCGCGACCCCCCAGGTGTGGCGGGGTGAGAAATGTCTCTGGTTAGAATTTAGAAGACGGTCAAATGCAGTGAAACAAAAGAACTTTATTAACAGCGCTTTGGGTGCACGAAGTCGTGACCTGGTCCGAGCACCCCGCCCTTTGTGGGGTCCTTTCTGTACCCTCTTGGTTGGATCAAGGGTTGGGCTTGATGATCTCGAAGGTCTCTTCCAACCCGGCTGATTCTATGATTCTATGATTCTATATGCTGTTAAATATTCCACAGGTGACAGGTATTTTACCTTAAAAGGTGATTTTTCGAACTCAGGAGGGGGTGTCACCCTCCCTCCTGATTGATTGATGACCCTCTGTGCATGCACAGAGGGGTCTCTCTGCACACCAAGGCCGGCCATGTGGTGGCCAGGTGGCTCAGAGGGTGGCCACGTGGCCAGGGCTGTATTTTTCCATTTTTATGTTTTTCCCCTATCCTGACCGAAACGTTTCCCAAATGGGGGCCTTTCACCTTCCAGCCTCCACGAGGCGCCTAAAGAAACCCTGGAGTTAAAATGAAAGACAAGAAAATCCCGCTGGCCCTCTGCTTTCCACATAAATTCATAAACCCAGACGATTTATTCCTCGCAGCCGGGATGAGGCTCCGCTCCCGATCCCGCCGCGGAGAGCGGGATTTGGTGCGGCTGTGCCGAGCAAGTGAGCAAAGGGAGAGGGTGCCGGAGCGTGGTGGGAGCAGAAGGACTTGGTGCCGTGCCACGGCGCCGGGTGGGAGCCGGTGGGCGCGGCGGGCGCCAGCCGGGCCCCGGAGGTGTCGCCGGGGACGCCGTGCCAGGCACCGCTCGGGCTGTGCAGTTTGGGGAACAAACTCTCGCTTCCCGGCTCCTCCAGGCGGGGTTTTGGTTTCCTCACCAGCTGGGGAGCAGAGCCCCATCCCCAGAGGGTGCCGGGGCGGCCACGGGAACAGCTTGGGCTGCGATGGAGCCGAGCTCTGCCGCGCCGGCTCCCGTGGGAGGCTGGCGGGGCCCTGCGGGTGCCAAATCCTCCCCTCGGCTCCACCTGCCACCGCTTGGCAGGTCCCGTCTGGGCTCTGTGACGGGCCCTGCCAGCGCTCCGGGGGTTGCCAGCCTCGGCAGATGTTCCCTGCAGCCGCGTGGCGCCGGTTCCTCTCCCGCAGATCCGCAGGCTGAGCCATCCTGGGAGCTGCCTCCACACCTCCGGGTTCTCGCTGGGCTCTGAGAGAGTTTTTTTGTGACTTGAGAACTCATCAGCCACCAGTTGGCTGGGTTTAATAAGGAACTGCACTTCCTGGCCCTTCAGCTGTGACATGCGCCGAGCCCTGTGATCCAAAGGGTCTTCCGTGAGTTTCTTTTTTTGCCCGATCTGGTTTCCTCCCGGTTCTGAGAGCGGCACATCCGATCCGTCTGCTGGCACGGTGCCCTCACCTGCCCCTGGAACGGGAAAGGCCTTTCCATCCGCCCAGCTCCAAGCTGCCCCACGCCCCCATCGTGCCTGGGTGAGGGTCTTTTTCCCACTTGTGGCATCCCAAGGGTTGGGATAAGGTCTGCTCTGAACAGCCTGACCCACAGTCACCGCTCCCACAGCCACGGGCTGTCCCACCCTCCGGTTTGGGCAGAGCTCGTGTCTTGCTGTGGGTTTTCCTGGCACAGTGATGGGCATTGTTGTGTGAGGAGGGGGGATTTGGGCGTGAAAAGTGCTTCCTGATGAGACACTGATTTCCCATCAGGAGCTCGGTGTCGTCCTGGGGCGGGCGCTGCAGCAGAGGCTCCTTCTCCAGCCACCTCCTGCTTCCAGTGCCTGGGTACAGCAAGGAAATGCTGTGTGTCTGTCTGTGCCCAGGCTGTGTGTCTGTCTGTGCCCAGGCTGTGTGTCTCTCTGTGCCCAGGCTCAGAGGGCAGGCAGACCGACTGCTGCAGGAAATGCTCAAATCCCCAGTGCCACTGGGAATGGGGCACATCCATTCCCAGCATCCCACCCCAGGGCCTGCGGGCGATGTCGGGCACAGGCAGATCAAACCACCTGCAGCCTGGCTGAGTTCTGGCAGTACTTTCAGTGCCAGCCCACTCCTGGCTAACTCCTCTTTTCCTCTGGAGCATCCCTGGCTGCTTGGCGTGGCAGATCCCTGATCCCCCTCCCAGCATCCCCCTTCCAGGGGCAGAGCGCTCCGTCCGTCCCCGCTATCGTGTCCTTGGAACGAGGCACAATAGACCCTCTGTGCGTGTGTGAGGGCACCACATGTGTGAATATTGCTGTATAGACTGCGTGTGCCGCCCCAGGGGAGCGGACACAAAGCTGTGCTGTCTGTCCCAGCTCCGGGAAGGCGGCTGTATTCCCGCTCCCTGAGTGTCCCACTGTTCCGATCCCAACCGCCGCGATCGGCGCCGGGGCAGAGCCAGGGCTCATTGTGCTGGGGGCTGTACACGGGCATTGTGAGGAGCAGTCGTGGTTCTGAGGAGTTTATAGATTGACAAGAACGTGGGGGAATTGGCTGGTGTGTGGAGGAGAGAGCGCTGCTCTTCCCAGGACCCGGTGCCAGCAACTGGAGAGCGGGCACGGAGCCGGGAGCGGGGTGTCCTTCTCCCCCGCGGGCACATTTCGGGGCTGGTGCTGTCTGGAAGCAGCTCCTTGGGAGCTGCTGAGAGCAAAAGCATGTCTGGTGTTGCAGGTGTAAATGCAGATCTCACCCCGACGTGTGGGAGCTGCTTTTCCCAGCCTCTCCCTGGGAATTGCCTCGTGGACACGCAGCGTGTCCGGGCCCTGGTGAGGGTGAGGTGTCACCCACCAGTGGGGGTTGTGTGTGAGGTGTCACCCAGCGGTGGGGGTTGTGTGTGCTCTCGGGTGGCTCTTGTCACCACCCTGCCAGCTCAGGTTTGAGCCGCAGGCAAGTCGTGGCCTTGGGAAGGCCCAAAGTGGGAAAACTTTCCCTCGGACTTAAAAAGAGGCTTTTGCCTCTGTTACTGAGCGTACTTAGGTGGGTTTTCAGGGTGCAAGTGATGGTCTCCCTTCCCGCTGTGACGGCAGGACCCTGCTGGGATCTGTCTGGGCGATTGTCCCCGTGGTGTTGGCACAGGTGACTCTGGTGGCACTTTGGATGGTGCCTGGCACCCGCTGTCGCTGCGGTGAGGGAGGTGCTGGAAGTGTCCTGGTGTAAACCTGGGGGCTCGGAGCCCCCTTTGGCTCCTGCCCCAATCCTGCGGCAGCTCCCTTCCCTGTGAATTGGGGGACAGGGACAGGGACAGGGACAGGCACAGCTCTGCCCCCCGGGCCGTGGGGACCGTCAGTGCCGCGGGTGTGGCAGCTCGGAATCTGCAGGCGGGCGCTTCCAGCGGCTCTTCAACCACAATAGAGGCAATTTACCCCTCATCAGCAGAGCAATCAGAATTAAAAGGTCACCCCATCCTCTGGCCCTCCCCGCAGCGGGACTGCGGGAGGGAGCGAGCCAGGTTCCAGGGATCAGCGGGAAGGACAATTAATCCTTGCTGCCGGCAGTAACCCCGTTTGTCTTCCAGCATTTTCCTCCACACTCCTCAAGCCCCCGAATCTCCACCTTCACCTCCGTGATCCCTGTGCCGTTCCTGTGGCAGGGAGCCCAGAGCATCTTCCCTGGAGCTCCAGGTCCTGGCCCTCAGGAGGGCTGGACAAGCTTCCCAGCCCTGCCACTGACCTGCTGCTTGTCCTTGGTCGTGTTTCTTCACCCATTTGCTGCCCTGTGTTGACTCAAAGCTTTTTGGAGCAACTCCTGCACAGTGGGCACAGCCAGTGCACGTAGAGCTCAGGTAATATTGTCACAATATATAAATGTGGAGGGAAAGGAGCCCTTGGCCCCAAACTAAGGGAGAGAGGGGTAAAAAAAGCCCCCTCTGCGTGTTTGGGGTGCAGGAACCGGCTCAGCTCTCTCCAGAAGTGCTCAGCAAAGAGGAGAATGAATTTTTGGGAGGGTTTGTCATGGCAGAGCATGTCATGAATGTGCCTGTGCCAGCCATGACTCATGGCTGCGGCTGTTAGGGAGCCTGGAAGGGCTCCAGCAGGGAGATCTGGCCTCCAGAGTTTCTCCCTCCTTGCCCTGCCAACCGCTGGGCCCCGAGCCAGGAGCGCTCCTGGCCCTGCTCCGCCCGTGCCTCAGTTTCCCCGTCGTGAAATGGGGGCAAAGCCAAGCTGTGGGGCTCTGCTGGGGGGGTTCCTGGGCTCCCAGCTCTCCCCCCCCAGGGGCTCTCTGGGCTGTGGTGCCAAGGCTTGAGGGGCTGTGAGTCCATGAGAGAGCCGTGGCCGGGGAGGGCTCTGGGAAGCTTCGGGAAGGGTCACTCCGAGCCCTGCCAGCCCCATCCAGCAGTGGGGTGTGACCTGACCCGGCTGAGCTCCGGATCCAGCGCCGTGTCCTGGGGACAAGCCTTGGCAGCGAGGCTTTCCTGGGAGGCAGATCCTGGTTTTCCCTCTCCCGAGCTCCCTCGGGGCCGGCGTGGGAGCAGCTGACAGCCCAGGACTCGGGGTGTCCGTGCCCAGGGCTGGGCAGCTCGGTGACATCAGGCTCTGGTGCCTTGGACCCTCCAGGCTCGCTCCTGGGCGTGCTGGGATCACGGGGAAGAGCTCCTGGAGTGGCACTGGCAGCCTGTGGGCACTGGCAGCTCGTGGCACGCCCCTGGCAGCCCTGCCTGGGCAGGGCAGGGAGGGCAGCGCGACAATCTGCCCGCGCCGCTGGCAGTGCCCGGCCCGGCGCTGGCTGCCCGCCCATGTGATGTGTTTGAGGGGGCACGCTGACATTTCCCAGGGGATAGGGAAAGAAAAAAAAACAAAACCCTGGGACCCGCAGGGAGCTCTGAGTCAGAAGAGAGATCAGAGAGCAGGAGTCGTCCGCGCGGAGCGGAGGGATAAACCCGGGGAAGGGGGGGAAAAGTTGCCGGGGCAGGGAGAGGATGTGAGGGAAAGCGCCGGCTCGGAGCCGGGAGGATGCGATGGGCGCCGGCAGAGGAGTGGTGGTGGCAGGGAGCGACGACGGCCATGGAGACGGGCCTGGGAGCCCCTCGCTAGAGCAGGGACGGGAGGGGGCATCGCTCGGGAGCTCCGGCGCCCACCCGGCACCGCCGCGGCTCCGCTTCCCGGCGCGCAGGACCCGGCGGTGGATGCGAGGTGACAGTCGCTGAGCGCCGAGCGAGGTCGGAGCCGCGAGATAAGGTCGGTAACAACCCACCCACTGCTCACTTGGGCTGCGCGGCGCGTGTTTAATAACGACCCGGCCCCGTATTTAATTAACATAAACAGCCAACGCAACCCGAGCCGTCTCCTCAGATTCGACTTGACGGGGACGCCGCCGCGTTGCTTTAAATGCCAAGTGATTAGCAAAAAACCATCTTTCGTTTGCTTTAAACATATGCCATAAGCTGCGTGTGTTTGTCGCGCAGATTTTCGGAGCCGTCTCCCGGTTCCTCCCCGGCTGCCTCGGGCGCGACCGTGACCATGTTTCCTCCTCGCCGGGCCAGGCAGCCCCCCGGCGCTGCCCCCCGGGCCCTGCCGAGCCTGCAGAGACCCACCGAGCCCGGGGACTACCGGCTCGCTGCCCTGCTCCTGGGTATGGACCGGGGCGGGGGGGATGTGGGTGTGGGAGGGGTGCAGGCTCCGGGGGATGCTGGTCCCGCTGGTCCCGCGGGGACGGTCCCAGCCCCTCGCAGAGGGGTGGGCTTTGCTCCGGGAGGGGTTGGATGGCGTGGGCTGAGGGATGATTGCAGCCCCTCGCAGGTGGTCCCTGGCCTGGGAAGAGATGGATGGTGTGAGCTGGGGGTGGTCCTGGCCCCGCATGGGTGGGCTCTGCCCCAGGAGGGGAAGGATGGCCTGGTGTGGGGGTGATCCACACCCCACACGGGTGGGCTCTACTCTGGGAGGGGGCTATGGACAGGCTGAGGATGAGAGCCCCTCACAGGTGGTCCCTGGCCTGGGAAGAGATGGATGGTGTGAGCTGGGGGTGGTCCTGGCCCCGCATGGGTGGGCTCTGCCCCAGGAGGGGAAGGATGGCCTGGTGTGGGGGTGATCCACACCCCACACGGGTGGGCTCTGCCCTGGGAAGAGGTGGATGGTGTGAGCTGGGGGTGATCCACACCCCACACAGGTGGGCTCTGCTCTGGGAGGGCATGGATGGTACAGGCTGGGGATAATCCCAACCCCACGCAGGTGGGCCCTGCCCTGGGAAGTGATGGATGGTGTGGGCTGGGGGATGATCCCAGCCCCACACGGGTGGGCTCTGCCCTGGGGAGGGGACAGATAGCCCAGCCTGGGATGGTCTCAGCCCTCGCAGGTGGGCTTTGCTGCAGGAGGGGATGGATGGCACGGGCTGGGAATGATCCCCAGGCTCTGCCCTGTGTGGGGACAGTGGAGGGGGCTGTTCCCAGCCCCACACGGATGGGCTCTGCCCCAGGAGGGGCTGATGGGGCTGGGCTGGACTGGGCTGGGCTGGACTGGACTGGGCTGGGCTGGCTGCCCAACGCTGGTGGGAGGAGGAGGCAGAGCTGAGGCAGCTGCTGCTGCCCTCCTTTTGCTTGACTAAACCTCACTGCCTGGACAGCTTCTGACTGGCGCTGGTGGGAGGGCTGCAGGCTGGACGGGCTGTGGTTTTCCCTCCAATGTGCCCCAGCAGGGCAGGAGGGTGTTCTCAGTGCCGGGGGGAAAGGGGTGGCACCTGCCCCTGGGACAGAGCAGTGGCCTTGTCCTCGTGTCACCTACAGCATCCCACTCCCAGGTGGGAGGTGGCAGCAGGCAGGGAGCCCTGTGAGGACCAGGCAGCTCAGTGTCCTCGTGCCCTGCAGGCAGGGGGGACATGTCACATGTCCCCACAGCATCCCTGTCCCATGGTCTGTGTGCGCTGATCAGGCTGACAGCGAAGCCCTGCTGGATCCCACCCCATGGTTTCCATTCCCGAGTGTGTTTTCCTTGCATCTGAGAGGCTTTAGACGTGGCTCTGAGATATTTTTTTCCCAGCATTTCTGATTTTTAACTAGCTGTGACTAACCAGGCTGGCACGGCAGGCTGTGACCAACCACCAACGTGCTACCTGTGCGCTTATAAATAGGGCCTGTTCTGCACACCCCCGTTTGGAGCATTCCAGGGCTCCCGAGCCCCTCCGTGACACCAGCCCAGCTTTTCCCAGCCTCTCCCCCACGGCTGCCAGAGCCCAGCATCCCCCAGGTCCTGGCAGGAGCCCCCCAGAGAGGCAGTGCCCCCCAATTCCTGCCCGCAGGCTGCGGGAAGGGGGCTCAGCGCCGTGGCTGGACCTGCTGAGCTCCGGGATGTGCCTCCAAGCACATTGTGATGGTGGCAGTGCCAGGCCTCTGAAAGAGTTGGGCCCCTCGTGCCAAGGCAGAGATGAGCTGAGGGTTGTGCTGGGCTGTGTGGCGTGGCTGTCCCTGCATCGCCGTGGTCCCCAACGCTCCGAGCCAGGAAAAATCCCCTTCCCGAGCGCTTCCTCACGGAGCTGAGCTCTTTGGTGACTCCAACGGGGGCCCAGGCTGTGGGGCAAGGGCTGGCAACGCCGTGGGTTTGGCTTGGATTCTTCCCTTCGTGGCTTCCTGGTCGGGGTGCTGGAGGGGTGGTCTCCTCCCTTCCCTTCCCTTCCCTCGGCTCCGTGATGATCCGTCAGCTGGATTTGCTCCCAGCTGGATTTGCTCCGACGCCACACGGAGTGGGAGCTGCTGTCAGGAGGCTCCGGCCTCCCGGCGGCGAGCGTGTGGTGAGCGTGACTGCACTGATGGCAGGAGGTGAGGGCACTGAGCAGCTGCCTGGGAAAACTGCCCCGGGTGCATCCAGGGAAACCACGGGGCGGGCACGGTGCATGGCTGGGCTCTGGCAGGAGCATCTCCCTCTGCCCGCGGCCCTTCCCTGCCCTGGGGGCTCTGCAGCCCCTCCTTTAGCCTTCCTCCCCAGGGACTTGTTGAGGTTTGGCTCTGCCTTTGATCCCAGGCTCTCCGAAGCAGAGCTTGCCCGTGTTTCCAAGCCGGCGTGGTGGTGCCCGGGCTGTGGGCACAAATCCCTTGGGGCTGCCCCTGAGGGGTGCAGGATGGAAACGAGGGATGCAGGATGGAAACGAGGGATGCAGGATGGAAACGAGGGGTGCAGGATGGAAACGAGGGGTGCAGGATGGAAACGAGGGATGCAGGATGGAAACGAGGGATGCAGGATGGAAACGAGGGATGCAGGATGGAAACGAGGGATGCAGGATGGAAAGGGCCTCGTGCCCAGCTCTGGGCTTTACCCTGGTGGTTGGCAATGTCTGTGGGACAGGCTGGAGGCTCCTGCTGGACCCTTCTGCTCCTTCCCGTTTCTCCTGTCACCGAAAGGAGGAGGTTCAGATCAGATGTTAGATAAAAATTCTCTAACATCAGGGTGGGGAGGCCCTGGCACAGGTTGCCCAGAGAAGCTGTGGCTGCCCCTGGATCCCTGGAAGTGTCCAAGGCCAGGGGGGATCTGGCTCACAGGGAGACTGGGCTGTGCTTCACCACACGGCTGGGGGTGAGTCACTGCCCCACATCCACACATCCCTGCACGGAGGCAGCCGCAGGACAGGGAGCCAGCAGGGGCTGCCAAAATCCTGGGAAAACTCCCGGTCCCTCTGGGCCAGGCTCGGTACTGATGGTGACATCCCCCTGCTCCCACCCTGGGTTTGGCCCCCTCCCCTCTCAGCATCCCCCCTGCAGCTGGACCCGTGCTCTCTGCCTGTGCCTCCCGCCGGTGCCTCGGTTTCCTTCTGCTCTCCAGAGCCAGGATGGACCCCCAGGCTCGGAGCTATTCCCGGGATATTCCCATCCCATCCCCTGCCAGGCCCCGGCTGTGCCGCCCGGGGTGGGAGACGAGCCCACAAAGTGGTTTGCGTTGGAGCTGTGAGGAGCCCGGCCCTGGCCATCCTCCCCTCTCCTTTATTTTTATCCGGCTGTTGGCACCTCCCCAGCCGCTGTGCCTTCCCTGCCAGCCCAGGGTGCTGCCGCCTCTTGCCAGGGCACGCAGGGCTCCGTCCTCCTCCGGGCCCCGGGCAGGGATGTTCTCCGTGCCCAGAGGGTGCCGCCGGCCTCGGCCTCCTGCCAAAGGTCTGGGAGGAAGCCGATGGCAGCGGGGAGATTTCCCTCAGCCGTCCTTCCCACGCCGTCTCTCCCCCTGTCCCACTTTGTTTTCCCTTGGCTGACCCAGGGCAGCTCCTTCCTGCATCCCACTGGAAGTGCCGATCCCGAGCTCCGAGCGAGCATCCAGGTGTGCCGGCCCTTCCCTGGGCGCTGCCGTTCCCCGGGAGCGAGGAGGTGAACTCGTCTCTCTCCCGTTTCCATGTGCCCGCGTGGGCGGGATAACACCCGGCGAGGTGGGAAGCAGCTGCTGCTTTTTCCAGGGCTGGCCAGATGGGATTTCTCCTTCACTTTGGGTTTTTGACAAATGACATGCGAATTTATCCGGTGGTTTCTCCGCTTCCAAAGTGAAGGAGCTGCTTGTCAGGGCAGTGCCGTGGAGAGATGCCAGCTGGACTTCTCCGAGCTCCAGCTGGGAGCAGCCAGTGTGCACCAGGACACGGAGTGGCTCCGGACTCCTTGTCCCCGTGCAGCTCCAGCGTCGGCAGGGCTGGAATTAGCGGGATGCAGGGAGGGTGCAGGCAGCATCCAGGGCACGTAGAGGCTGGGAACAGGCTGGATCACACCCGGACCACCACCGTGCACGGGCACTGTGCCCCTGCCCTTGCCCAGAAGCCAAGGGGCATCCTGGCTCCGGGGCCGCGGGGTCTGCGCTAACCCAGCTGGGAAGTTCCTGAGGAAACAGTTGGGGTGTGTTTTATCGTCCTTGGTTCTGCCTGAATTTGGGAGTGAAAGGCAGGGCGGGGAGCCCGCTGGCTGCTGCTGAGCCCGGGCAGTGCTGGGGGATCCTCAGGGATGGGGAGAGGAGGTGGCAGAGCCACAGCTCTGCCATCCCGTGGGGCTGCAGGGCGTGGGGGAGATGAATCCTGGGATGGATGTTAATGGTTCCTTAGGGGTGGTCTTGGCATCCCCTGGCTTTTCCCAGGAGGTTTGGTGGAGGGTGTCCATCAGCTCAGGTGGGGAAGCTCCGGCCCAGTCGCCCTCAGCTTTCACTCCCTGTGTTGCTGTGAGGGACAAGGAGACGGAGCAGACCCCTCACTCCCACATTCCCATGCTGGGATGGACCCTGGGTCTGTCCAGCTCCTGGCATTCCCATGGGACAGGGGCGTCCACAGCCCGTGGGCTCGACCGAAAACAGGGGTTTAATTCTCTGAGAGCTGATTTTAAGTGACCAGAGCTGGTGGTGGCTGGACCCGTTCGACTCATGGCGGTGACACAGGGGGAGGGCACTCGTGTGTCCCCTGGTGTGGGGGCTGCCTTGTCTCTGCTCCTGGGCACGGTTTCAGTCGGATAACCTCGGGCAGCTGGGCAGCTCCCAGCACTCTTTGGATGTGGCTGTGAGGGTGAGCCCGGGGCAGGTCCTGGAGGGCACTTGACCATCCCAAAATGAGTGCAAACAGAGCGTGGCTGAGCCAGGGGCGGGGACAGCAGTGGCTCTGAAGGTGCCTCTGAGCAACCTGATCTAGTGGAAGGTCCCTGCCCACGGCAGGGGGTGGAACTTTAAGGTCCCTTCCAACCCAAACCGTTCCAGCGTTCTGTGATTCGATCCCAGCAGGTCCCGGCTCAGGAAGGGGTGGGTGTTTCTGCAGCACGACATGAGTTAAAGTGCAGCGGCGCGGGAGCCCTGCAGGCTCTCCCTGCGCTTCCCATCCCTCCCTCCCATCCCTGGGAGCCAGGCTGCGGCGTGGCGAGGAAGGGGTTAGTGCCGAGCAGGGCTCTGGGTGCTGGGCAGCCTCCGTGGGTGCTGAGCAGGCAGCGCTGGCAGTGCGGCAGTGCAGCCTTCGGGAGGAAGCAAGTGCATCCCGCTCTTCCGGCTGCGTTAATGGCCGGGTGCGGGGGAGACGCATCGCTCCGAGGGGCTTCTATTCTCTCGCCTCCCTTTCTCCCCAGATGCACTCTCCGCTTCCCCTCCCCTCGCCCCTTTTTGTACGAACGCTTTCTCGGCCGATTTTTCATGCTCCGCTAACTGCCGGCGCTTTCACGACCCGCGTGAGCTTCGCTGCCTCATGAAGATTTATGAAACTGCAGTAATAAACTGTGTTTGAAAAGATCCTTTTGATGATAAAGCCCTGCCGGGCTGCTGGCGGGGGGACCCGGGCGGACCGCGCCGCCGAGCCCGCAGCCGCTCCGACCCGGCGCGGCTCCCGCGGGGCAGCGCCCGCAGCACCGGGAAGGTTTTTGGGGGCCTTTCCCACCCTGAAGAGCATCACCTAAAGCGCGGTCAGGCTCCGGTGCCCCCGGCGCCTCTGTTTTCCCGGGAAGCAGGCGATGGCCGGACCCTGCTAGCAGCCCGGGGCCGTGCCCCGGCGCGGGTGACACCTTCTGCTGGCAGGTGAGGAAGATGGATGGATGAATCGGCAAAGAGAACCGCGTTCCCTTAACCTCCCGCTGCTCGGAGAGGGGCTGGCCAGGATTTACCGCGGGATTTTGGCTGTCGTGGGAGCCCTGCGCTCGGCCAAGGAGCCGCCTCCAGCCCCTGCAGAGCCCCGGGGGGCCGCAGCCCCCATCCCGCCGGAGCAGTTTCCCGGCCGCCGTGGGAGCCGAGCCGCGCCCGCGGGTAAGCGATGGGACGGTCCCCGGGGCAGGGGGGGGACACATCCCGCAGGGACACCCTGCCAGGCTGGGCTGGACCGGGGCACTGCCGAGGTGGGCACCCCGTGCAGGTTCTGGCCACCGGCTCTCCCACCCCAGTGACCTACTTGGAAGCAGCGTCGGGAAGCACTTTCCAGGGATGTGCTGCTGCTGCTGCTGCTGCTGCTGCTGCTGCTGTCGTGGGCAGCCCGTGTGTGGGTACCACTGCTCCGGCATCCCCGCACCCGGGGAGGAGGAGAAACAACTTTGTGGGGGGATTTTGGGGCGGCAGGATGGAATTATACCCTCGGGGCGAGGGTAGGATTAGCACCCTCTTCTCGTGGATAGTGCCAGGGAAGCACGACTGTGAGTGTTTTAGGGTCCCTTTCCCAAAGAGCCCCCCGTGGCCCAGCTGGTGGTTGTTTCCTTGTCCGATATCGTCTCTGGGATATCTGGAGGGAAAAGGTGGCTGACATGAGGCCAGTACACGTGTCTGCAGTGGTTTTTCCTCCTCTTGCCTTGGAGGGGTTCTTGGATCTCGGGGTTCCTGGTGTTGGGGCTGTCTCTCCCTCCTTTGCCCTGGGGATGGATGTGGGAGCGGATGTGGCACAGCCGGGGGTGGAAGAGCCCCCGACGGGCTCCAGCTTGGCTCTGACCCCTGTGCAGCTCGTGCAGGGCTGTTCAAATCATCCTCTTTAGCAGTCGGCAGAGGGACAGCGAGAGCTGGCGCGTTCCACTCCCGGAGCATGTAATTAGGGAGCGGGGAGCTGCATGCTGATCACGGCTCGGCAGGAGGAGGAGGAGGAGGGTGGGAAGGGGCTGGAAACGCGGCCCCATCCCAGGGCTGCTGAACCCGGGGCTGGTGGAGGCACCCGGGAGGTCGTTGCAGGGAATGAGCCCCTCTCACACCCCCCAGATCCCCGTCCCTGCCTTCTCTGGCTCAAGGCCTCCTCGAGCCGCTCTCCCCAGCGAGGGAGAGGAGCTGCAGCTCCTTCCTCCCAGCCCTGTCACCGCTGCAGCTGGAGCTGTCAGGGTGGCCCTTCATCCCTCTTTCCCAGCCTTCCCAGCGCACCATTCCGATGGGATAGGACAAGGCTGGGAGTCCCTGTGGCGCTCGGGCTCCGGCTCTGCCGAGGGGCTGCTTTGGTGGGGATGGACCACACTGGGCACATCGCCTGTGCCGGGGGGTGCTGGGGGTCCCACTGCCCCAAACGGAGCTGGGAGCACCCTGGCTGCTCCCAGGGGTGCTCCAGGGCACTGCCAGTGCTGGGGCTGGGCTGGGTGTTGGGTGCTGGGCACAGTTGCCCCCCAAACACGTCTCTGCTGCTTTGTGGTCAGAGAACAAGTGCTCGACCGACCGGACGAGGGGGGGAAGGAGTTTTCTGCCTGATATCAGCAACCCCCAGGGAGAAAAATGTGTTCTGGGGCTGTTACATGAGGGGAGAGGTGAGCGAGCAGCTCCTGGGGCTGGGTTGGGGCGTTCAGGACAAATTGCTCCATCCGTGTTTCCCGTCAGTGCCGGGTTTGGCAGCGGCTCCGCAGCCGGTGGGACCCCGGGGCGATGCCCCTGCCCCTCTCTGAGCTGCCTTCTCCTCTGCCAGCAACGGGTCCAAGGTGTCCCCTCTGACGTCTCCCTGTGCTGCTTTCCCTGGGGGAGCTCAGGGTGTTTTTGATGTGCCCCTGTGACCCTCCCCTGTGACACGGGGACCCAGCGGGGCGAGCTGGGGAGAGACAGAAGCTGCAGCTCTTCCCCTGTCTTCTGGGAAAGGGGCTGACAGCCTGGCCAAGGTCACATTCAGTGGCAGGACGGGAGCTGGACTGGTTGCTTTTTGGAGGAGGAAACAGGAATCAGGCTTTGCTGAGCGTGTGATGTCCCCGCTTGGCTCGGAGCAAACCCCCTTGTACGACCTTGAGCGGAGGAATCGTGTCCGTAGCACACGCTGGAGTCCCATCCTGCGTTAATAACACCCATACAAAGCTAATATGTTGGGCTGATAAATAATTAAGGGAGAAGGAGAAACCCTCTATGATTTGCTTGACGGGAGCTCTGGGAAGGAAGGGAGTGGGGGGAGGAAGGACGAGGAGGGAGATGAATAATGGATCAAGGTTAAAAGGGGAGCAGAAAGGGAAGCCTGAGCCCGGTGGAGCCCTGCAGCACACGCTGCCAAACTAGTTAGTGGTGGCAAAGACAGCTGGGACCGGGCCAGGGCTGGGTGACACCGGCTCTGATGACATGAGACACTCAACAGTGGCTTTTGGGGTGGGAGAGGGTGCCCTGGAGCTGCTCTGCAGCGGGCACGGGGCTGGGCAGGGGCTGAGGGCTGCGGGGTGGCCTCGTCCCGCAGTCACCGAGGAGGTGCCAGGCGCTGGCAGCGCGTGGGGACTTCCAGGCATCCGGCACCGCTGAGCTTCCCTGGAAATCAGAGTCACAACGTGCAGGGAATGAATTATTAGCAAAGGGTCGAGTCCCTTTTGCCTCCCTGCGCGTGCGACCCCCTGGCTGCCCCCCTGCCCCCTCCCTGCCTGCCCGGGGTGGGCTGAGCTCCGGGAGAGGGCTGGCGTGGGGCAGAGCATCCCTGCAATGCCGGGTTTGGTGCCGTGGGCTGGGCTGGTCTCTGGGAGAAGCAGCTGCAGGATGGGGGGGCTGAGCCCTCCGCGGGGGTCTCTGGCAGGGCATGGGGGGGCCTGGCCCCCCTGGCACAGTGCCCACACTGACGGGCAGACACGAACCTCCCCTCCCCTCTGGCCTGATTTAATTTTCTTTTTGGTTTGTCCTGTGTCGTGTCCTCTGTCTGTCTGTGCCTCAGAGCAGTGCTCAGTCCCCGTGTCTTGTCTGTGCTGTTTTAATGACCCAACGCTGTTTAATTCCTGTTTCACTCTGAACATCGTGGTTTTGGTGGCATCCCAGCCCTTACATCCCCCCCACTGCCCCGGCCCCTCCATCCCCCTTGCCCCCTCCACCTCCTGCCACCGCCAGCCCCGTGTCCAGGAGCGGGGACACCGCAGAGGGATAAACCCCGCACCCCCTCCCCGTTCATCCCACCGCGGGACCACCCCGCTCCCAGCCAGCCCCAGCCACCACCCTCGGCTTAAACACCCCCCCCCCACCCCAAATCTCTGCGCCCCGTGGCGGGGGGGGGCCGGCCCTGACCCCGCTGTGCTCTGCCCGCCCCGCGCAGATCCCGAAAGGACGAGCAGCCACATGATCTCCGCGGACGATGCCGAGTACCCGCGGGAGTACCGGACCCTGGGCAACGGCACCCGGCGCTTCTCCAACGTAGGGCTGGTGCACACCTCGGAGCGCCGGCACACCGTCATCGCCGCCCAGAGCCTGGAGGCCCTCACCGGCCTCCAGAAGACGGAGATGGAGCGCAAGAGGGACGCCTTCATGGACCACCTGAAGAGCAAGTACCCGCAGCACGCGCTGGCGCTGCGGGGGCAGCAGGAGAGGATGCGGGACCAGGTGAGGGGCGTCGCCTGCTCGGGGGGGGGGACACAGGGAGCCCTTTGTGGTCCCTTAGGGGCGGCTGGAGGGGAAGGGGCTCGGGGGGGGGGGCTTGGATGGCGCGTGAGATTGGGGGGGAGGGTGGTTGTAGCGGCCTCGGCGGTGGGGGAGCATCCCCCAGGTGTGAGGATGAGAATTCCATAGGTGTGAGGATGAGAATTCCATAGGTGTGAGGATGAGCATCCCCCAGGTGTGAGGATGAGAATTACACAGGTATGAGCATGAGCATCCCCTGGGTGTGAGGATGAGCATTCCACAGGTGTGAGCATGAGCATCCCCCAGGTGTGAGGATAAGGATTCCACAGGTGTGAGGAAGAGCATCCCCTGGGTGTGAGGATGAGAATTCTACAGGTGTGAGGATGAGCATTCCATAGGTGTGAGGATGAGAATTCCACAGATATGAGCATGAGCATCCCCCAGGTGTGAAGATGAGCATCCCCCAGGTGAGGATGAACATTCTGTAGGTGTGAGGAAGAGCATCCTCCATCTCTGGAGGGCAGCACCCCCTCTCTTCCCAGGACTGGGGCTCTCCCACGTGGATTTATCCTGCAAACCCCGACTTTGCTGGGGAAGGGGCAGCCTGACCCCCCTGCTTGGGAGCTGCCTCTGGGATGCCAGTGCCTCCCCCCTTGGCTGCCCAGGAAGGGGCTGGGGAGCTCAGGGGGGCTGCAGGACAGGACAGGCAGAGGCAGGGAGGGGCTGTGGCTCTGCCCCAGCACGTGTGGGATGTGGATGGATGAGGCGTGCTGGGGGTTGGCACCGGTGCCCATACCAGGACATCCTTTGGTTGTGTTCCCCAGGGATACTCTGAGCCAGTCCTCAGAGCAGGTGACACATCTGGGAGCCCTTCTGAAAGCAGCAGAGCCCGAGGGATGAACTATCCCTGGGGGTGACACCCATCCCTGTGCCTGGGGGTGCCCTCGGGGTGCGGGGGACCCCAAATCCCCCTTGTCTGGGCACCAGCGAGGCCGTTTGGTGAGAAATCCCCACCCGAGCAGGGTGAACACGGAGCATCCGGGGGAAACCTCAGATCATCCCCGACAGACCCCGAGGGAGGGAGGTGACGGCTCCCAGACCTGGCACAGCGGAAGGGAATCCAGCTGTGTCAGGAAATTCAGCAGCAGCCGCCGCCTCGCTGCCTCCTCGGAGCCGTCTCCTGCCTGGCACTGCCCCCCACGCCCCCAAACACCCGGAGTTTGGCTGAGGGGTGATTATTGATCAGCCCCACACGGGGCAGAGTCCATCTCTGCCTCTTATGAGGTGGACCAGGGACATTCCCAGGCACAGGGTGGTACTTCCCAGTCAATAAATAGGATTTTTTTCCTGTTATTACAGGGATTTAAGGACTTTTCTTTTTTTTTTAAATAAGCAACGGCTACGAAAAAAAAAAATCCAGCTTGTGTTGGCTCAGGGTCTGATAAGCTGCAGGGGGGTTTTATAAGGTGAAAGAAAGATGATCTGGATTCTGGAATTACCTGCTTTGTTTCTGGACCAGTGGGGTGGTGTCTGGGCATCTCTTGGCACCGGGCAAACCCAGCCAGGATTTTTGGGTCCCATCACTCCCCCACCACAAGCATCAACTATTTGCAGCTGGTACAGAAATCAGAAACACCCCAAAATCCTACGAAATCCTATTTTTCTTCTTTTTTTTTTTTTTTTTGGCCCTCTTTTTCCCCTTTTTTTCTTCATTTCCCCCACAGGCAGTAAATAATAACAGGGAGAAATGAATCTAAAAACCCCTGGAAACCTCAGGTGCCAACCTTTAAATGACATTGGGATCCAGCACTGGCTCTGCCTGAAGCATCTGAAACTCTCTTTGCTATTCCAGAGGAGCCCGGAAGGTGTTTCAGATCCCAGGCTTTGCTGTTTTATTGGGATTTTGAAGACAAAATTACGTGTAAGAGAGTTGGTAACATCAGAGGTGAACAGTAACATTCCACAAATGTCAACAATCCCTTTTTCAGCCTGGCAGAGCCCGCAGCAAAAAGCACGGGAATGGGAAAGGGAGAGAAATACTCGTTTTAAATTTGTGTGTTTAAGACAGAGCAGGGAAAATGAAAAAAAAATAAAAAAAAATGCAGGGGAATAATTGTAGCAACCCCCATCAGACCTGTGGCAGGTCTGAGGAGAGGCCCGAGGAGGCAGATTTAAAATCCAGATGGGAGAAGGCGCTGAATGGGAATATTAATGATAAAGAGAGGAATGGGAATGGGGATGGGGATGGGGGGCTGCTGGAGCGTGTTGGCTGTGGGAACTGGGGGGAAAATCCTGCCCTGGGAGGGGTAAATCCGGCAGGAGGGGGGTGGAAGTGGATGATCTTTAAGGTCCCTTCCAACCCCGGTGTTCTGCGGTTCCGTGGGCGATGCTCTGGGAGTTGGGATTCGTCCAGAGATGCTCTGTGGTGCCTCGTGTTGAGTACACAGAAAGTTAGGAGCTGCTGGGAAAATGAGGAATGAGTTAGAAAAATGAGGGACAGGTAGGAAAACAAGGAAAATAATTTTATGTTATTAGGAAAATAATGTTATGGTCCGTCCCTGGTTCTAATATTCCCTTTGCTTTTGGATGTGCTCTTCCCACACGGGGCTCAGCGGGTGCGTCAGGACCGGGAACGTGTGGCTTTGTGCAGATGGATTCCAAATCCTAGGGAAAAAAAGGGATTAGGGACTCATTTCTTGTCCGTAACCTGTAAAAAGCTGTGTTGGGATTAGACCTCGTCTGAGAGGATGCGGGGTGGGGCTGAGCTGGAGCTGAGGTGTCCCTCCGAAAAAGTGTCCGGAATCTTGGATTTCAGCTTGTCCAGTTGTGCTGCAGGGAAAGGAAAAAAAAAAAAGGAAAAAAGGGCAGGAAAAGGCTGAAAAGGCTGGAAAGGCTGGAGCTGAGTGTTGGGAACGTGGTGGCGGCCGCCTGACGGCAGCAGATTTGCAGCTGCCCGGAATAAATCCGCCTGTGGAATGAATAAATAAGAGGCAGCGCGGATGTGCGGACCCCAGGGACCCCCAGGGACCCCCAGGGACCCCCAGGGACCCCCAGCAGCACCCGGGGGGGCACAGGGGGGTGTGGGGCACGAGGGGGGGCACGAGGGGGAGGGCAGGTAGGGATGCAGGTGGGGGGGAAGGTAGGGATGAAGTTGGAAGGGCCAGGCAGGGAGTGCAGGGATGTAGGGGGGGCTACAGGTAGGGATGAAGGTTGGGATGAAGGAAGGGAAGGTTGGGATGAAGGAAGGGAAGGTTGGGATGCAGGAAGGGATGAAGGTTGGGATGCAGGAAGGGATGAAGGTTGGGGTGCAGGAGGGGATGAAGGTTGGGATGCAGGTGCCCATCCCTGTGTGCACATCCATGTGTGTGTGAATCCATGCATGAATCCGTGTGTGATTCCCAGTGCCCATCCCTATGCCCATCCCTGTGATTCCCTGTGCACATTCCTGTGCCCATCCCTGATTCCCTGTGCCCATCCCTGTGCCCATCCCTGTTATTCCCTGTGTCCATCCCTGTGATTCCCAGTGCCCATCCCTGTGTCCATCCCCATTATTCCCTGTGTCCATCCCGGTGTCCATCCCAGTGTCCATCCCTGTGTCCATCCCTGTGCCCATCCCAGTGTCCATCCTGGTGTCCATCCCCATTATTCCTGGTGTCCATCCCTGTGTCCATCCCGGTGTCCATCCCTGTGTCCATCCCCGTTATTCCCGGTGTCCATCCCGGTTATTCCCGGTGTCCATCCCGGTTATTCCCGGTGTCATCCCTGGATGTTCCCAACACTCACCCCCCCCCTCCCGCCGTTCCCTCCCGGCCCCGCCCCCCCGCGCGCTCAGCGCCCCCTGCCGGCGCTGCGGTGGCGGTGCGGTGCCGCGGTTGCCATGGCGACGTTGCCGCGGGCGGGGCGGGGCGGGGCGGGGCGGGGCGGGAGGAGGGGGTGGCTCCGCCCCCTCGGCCCCGCCCGCGCCCCCCGAGCCGAGCCGAGCCCGGCGGGGCCGAACGGGGCCGAGAGGAGCCGAGAGGGGCCGGGAAGGGCCGAGCCGGGCCGAGCGGCGCTGCGGACCCCGCGGCGCTCACCTGCCGCAGGTACCGGGCGGGCGGAGCGGGATGGAGCGGGTCGTGTCCCCCCCCGGTGTCAGCGTCTCCCCGCTGCAGTCCCCCCGAGCTCCCCTTCCCCGGCTGTCCTGGTGTGCTTCCTACCCATCCCGCTATGCCCCTCCCCAAAATTCCCGGTCGCCACCTGGAGATGCTGGTTGCCCTCTCCCCCACCCCGGCACCGACCGATCGTGTCCTTGCGCTGGCAGCGGGGCTCGGCCCCAGAGAGGGGATTGTCCCCCCTTTCCTTTAGCACCCCTTTCCTTCAGCCTCCACTTTCCTTTAGCCCTCACTTTCCTCCAGCCCCCCTTTCCCTCCAGCCCCCCTTTCCCTCCAGCCCCCCCTTTCCCTCCAGCCCCCCCTTTCCCTCCAGCCTCCCCCTCTTTCCCTCCAGCCTCTCCCCCTTTCCCTCCAAAGCACCCCTTCCCCTCCCAGCCCCCCTTCCCTCCAGCCCCCCCCTTTCCCCAGCCCCCCCTTTTCCACCAGCCCCCCCTTCCCTCCGCCCTCTCCCCCCTCTTTCCCCCAGCCCCCCCTTCACTCCAGCCTATCCCCTTTCCCTCCAGCCCCCTTTCCCTCCACGGCCCCCTCTTTCCCTCCAGCCCCCCCCTTTCCCTCCAGGCCCCTTTCCCTCAAGCCCCCCCTTTCCTTCCAGCCTCCCCCCCTTTCCCTCCAGCCTCTCCTCCTTTCCCTCCAGCCCTCCTTTCCCTCCAGCCTCCCCCCCTTTCCCCTTTCCTGGGGGTTCCCCCCATTCCCAGGCTGGCAGCAGGAGGGGGTGGCAGTTTGTGGGTGGCAGCAGGAGGGGGTGGCAGTTTGTGGGTGCCATCGTCCCTGCCTTGCCCTTTGGTGCAGCACCTGGGGGGTCTCACCGTGCCCCCCGTCCATGTGCACATGGGGGCCGTGCAAGGCCCCCGGTGCTGCCCATGCCAGGTCCCAGGGC